AGAGATACCAAGTACTTATTTCTCGCCGTCAACTTGTTCTGCGCCCTGTAGTTATTGCACATACGAAAAATCCCATTCCTCTTCCGTTGAAAGAGCACCGGTGTACCAAAAGGGCTTTTTGACGGGACAACAAACTTTGCTTCTAAAGGTTTCCCCAATTGTTTCCCTAACTCGGTCGTTTCATCGAGTGACATCCGTTATGGTGGTCGAGATACCGATTTTGCACCCTCCACCAAGTCGATAATGGGGTCAACCGCTTGTCAAGGTGGTAACCTCTTCGGTAACACGTTTGGCATTACATCCTTGAATTCCTTGGGGACACCCTCCAACTCCTTAGGTGGCGCAACGGCCTTCTTGACCTCATCACCCGGGAGATCCTCGTTGCTAATGATAGCTGCAAACATCGGATCTTTTTTCATCAATCATCTTTCGAGTTGCTTTGGCGCCAACTTCTTCTCCCGATACACGGTGATATCGCACGGCATGCTTCTCTCCATGATAGTGTATTTTTTCTCGTGCGGTATCATTGCTAACTTGGTTTGCTCGATGAATCTCATGCCTAAGAACACCAAATATTCGTTAATAGGGGCAACATTGAAATCAACCGTACCTTTCTAATCTCCAACTTGGATCGGCACATCCTTTGCCACTCTCATCAAAGGTGTCCATGCACTATTTACTCTCTTGAATTGGCCATTCAACGACACTTATTGCAAACCCAACTCGTGAGCTATTTCTTTGCTCATGTAATTCGCAATCACCCCCAAGTCGAGTAAACACAAGTACGAGCGTCCATTGATCTCGACATTCATGTGCATCCATCCTCGATAGTTTTTGTCATCACCCTCCACTTTCATGCACGCCACTCGTTCTTCCGTCGGGTTAGTCTTTTCAGTCACCACAGCAACGGTCGATCGGTTCGGACAATCCTTTGCAAAATATTCTTTTGATTGACAAATAAAACAACCCTCATACCTCGGTCCCGGTTTGGAAAAATCCCTCATTGCAACCCTAGGTGTTTGACGTTCACTTTCAGGTCGGGATGGTCGTGGGGTGAATCTCGGCGCATCTCCCCCACTTTTGTCCGAGATCATTCTCCACCCGTCATCACTCTTGTTCGGTTCCCTCCGTTGGAACTCAATCAATCATGAAGCATATTTCATTGCTTCATTCACAGTTTCCGGGCACTTATCCACGACCCGCCCCTTGGCCCACGGCCTCAATCCTTTGGTAAACCCGAATATGCTTCTTCTCGCATCATCGATGGGATTTCAAGTAGTAAGTTGGCATATTCATCAATATATTCTTTCAAATGCCATTCCCGGTGTGTCAACCAACAGATCTTGGCCCTTACCTCATTTTCAGCCCTCATCGGTTCAAACTCTGCCTTGAATTCGAACTTGAACATTGCCTACGTCATGATGGCCTCACCATCTTGGGCAAGTTCGCTCCTACGCCTCAACCAAATGAGCGCCAAGTTTTTTAAGAATAATGATGTCGTGTGTACTTTGGCTACATCCCCCACAACACCTATAGCGTTAAGGTAACGTTTCTCATAAAAAATAAATGTATCAATTACCCGACTTCTCCGAACTCCCACGTAGTACTCCGGTGGCACCTTTACTCTAGGTGCCACCGCTACTCCTCCAATCAGACAACAAGCTTGCAATTCCGAAATTTCCGGTCTAAGTGTTGCAAGCTCATCTTGCATCGCAGATTTATGACTCCAAATATGAGCATATTCTTAGCTTGACAAAACTGTGTATTACTCGAATTTCTGTAAAAAAAACCATCATAATAACTTGTTAATGGCATACATTATTGATCTATATCGCTTGGCATGATCCAGAGTTCATTGTTGAGATTATTAACAATTTTTGCCATTCTTAAGAGGTATCCTGGTGCCAGAAAAGCTAAGGCAGACGCCACAAGCAGTAGCCACTTCCGCTCGCAAGCGACCACTGCATCACCTAAAAATGACTACGGCAAGAGAGACAAGCGGTAGCTTCCACCACTCGCAATCGACAGTCTCTTCCACTTGCAAGCGACGGTCTAGACACCCACCGCTGCATAATGACAGCAGATATTCACTTAGTGTTCCAACTGCAACGGTACAACCATTCTATTTCCAGCCAGCACAAGCAAGCCTAGCTGAGTTGATGCCCTCCAGCCCTCCGGAAAGCGAGGAAGATCTGAGTCCTTACTATCCTATGCAAACGAAGCAGACACCCTAGGAGTTATGGCCAACAACTGCTTCAACAGAATAACTGTCATCAACCGCCTAACTGTCTAGTGGTTGGAACTACTTTGCAACTGCTTGCAACTATTCCTTTTTCACCTACTATAAATATGGTCAGACATCTCTATGTACATATACTTTGATCTGGAGTATTTTAGCAATTAATTTCTGCGCAATCTAGTTGTTTTCCTGTTCTTCGAGAGCTCCAACCCTGTAAGGGAGTTCTCCACGTGAATGGCCAAGGGAGTAGGGATTTCCCTTCTCCCTTGGCCAAGACTTTACCGTTTTCTTAGAGTAGCTTATTGTTTTCAATTACAGCTTTTTAGTTTTATCATTTCCAGCTTTATTAGTAAGTAACGAAATATCATTCAGTTCTTCATCTATATTTCTTCCACATTCTCTTCATACTTAAATAAAATTTGAATTTAAAGAATTTTATTTCACTGGTTTAGAGCATGAGAAGAATTGATTATCTAAGCCTTGTCTTTTGCCAAAAGCATTTTCAAGGTAGTTCAATGTAGTTAAGTACGCGGGAGCCTTTTCGACCTATTAACTACTGTTCTAAATTCAATTTTGATTAAAAAGATGTGATAGAAGGGTAAAGCCACTAATTCATGGGGCATAGACGGTGGTTTATTAGGTCACAGAAATTCCTAGTGACAGTAGGGTTTCTTTGTTATAATATTCCAATTCTGGGTGTTATTGAAGTATTGTTGTAAATCCCTTAAGGTCAAATTCCAGTGTTAAGAATTTTTTACAATTCAGTTTATATATTTACATTATCTCCTTCCACCACTTTCGTATTATACATATACCTCCATTAACACACTTACATTGCTCGCTCATTACATCCAGGAAAACCTAGCCATTAAGTAACGGACAAGTCAGACACAACATCTCTCCATCACTCTCCACCGCTTACATATATACATATATACATATCGTGTCATCCGCCCATGTCCCGTTCACTCGGTAATCGGCATCCGCTCATGCTCGTTCACTCGGTTATCGCATCCGATCATCTCTCGTTCACTCGGTTACCGCTGGCACTTCACCGCTCACCTCCGCCCAGCTCGCCTCCGCTCACTCTTTACCGCTTTCACTTATCGCTTTCCTTAGACTAGAAATCTGGATCCGCTGCAGAGCGGGTCCTTTACTGCATTTTTCGCCGCTTTCTCATAATCTATACTTGTTTTGAAATTCATGACTTAAAATTCCTGTGTTCGACCTGAAAACTTACCAGTAAAAAGAGTATACGTGAATGCCTTCTATAAACAGCCACTCATTGATTTTCAAATATAAATTCCCTGTGAAAATGTACAAATTATGTTTCAACAAATTTTAGCTATCACGGACGGCTCTACCACAACCTCCTTCTCCCATCGGGCCAACTCGAGACGGCACGTTGCCATCTCCACCCCTTTGTGGCATTGGTCTACTCCCGCCGCAAGAGACTTCATCAACTCTTCACGCAACTCCTTCTCGACCTCATCGAGATGTTGATCGACTTCGTCGATCCTTTCAGAATTTCCATCCAAGAATTGTTCCACTCGTTCAACTCTTGACTCCGACGTAACATCAACGGAGACACCATGCTTGTTCCTCCGGCTGTGTGTGTTCCTTCATGGGCACCCTTGGTGTTACCCTCATTGATATTCGTTAAGTTGGAACCGCCACTTGTAGCGACAGACCCCAAAATTTTAAGAAATTAATTTTTTAGTGTAAGTTTTAATTTCATATGATTAGAGAGTTGATTTGCACCCGGTAAACTCCATATGTTATGTACTCTATACTTTAATTGATTATTTTTATTTGTAATGTATAGTAATTTTATTATAAATATACTATATAAAAATAAGTTTTGTTTATATAAAAACTTTTGGAATATTAAAAAAAAGTAGTAAAAACTAAAAAGTGTCTATAATATAATATTTTATAAAAAAGAATATTTGATTTAATATATTTTTTTTTTGGTAAAAGAATTACTATTAATTTATAGTGTGAAAATTACAAAAATGCGTGTCTAATTAAAATTAATGTTTTTTATTCTAAATATTATTGCAGTCACTTAGCATTTTTTTTTTTTTCTTTTGTTTCTCCTATATCTAGCTACCTTCGCGTCAAAAGAAATTAAATAAGCATAAGTTTAGGCGGATCGCATCCCTCATTGACTTAGGTTCGAACAAAACTCTGATACCATTTGTTACGGACCGCATAATTATTCCTCAAACACCTTTCATGCAGCCTAGTAATTTCTGGACACTTAGAGGTCGCTAGTACAACCTTTCATCGAACACCATCAAGAACGCTCAAGAATTATAGAGTGGGAAAAGAGTGAGAAAAAACATTTGCTATTACTCTCAAGTTGATGATTTACAAATGAGCAGTACCATTTATTCATACAAGTCCATTGTGAAATGGATGGTCAAGATCCAATAGATCCAATTATCACCCAACCACCATCTATCACCTATAATCTATCCATCCTCACTTACCATCTACCATTTACCATCCCCCAATTACTTCGTACAAATTCTAATTTTATCCATAAAATTTCGGACTAACCTCCGAATTTTGGCTCTTTCTCTCTTTATCTCCGATCACGGATTCGGTCCGTGACTATTCTACTATGGTTTATGCAAGAGCAAGCCCAACAGTATCTTACTGTTCCAATTTTCATTATGCCACGAGGAAAGATTACAGCCACAGAAATTATACGCATTTTCTGGGTGAAATCGCTGGATTCATCACGAATACGAACACGACTTTTAACTTTTTGAGCTAATGGATCTCAGAGCCAGAGGGCGAAAAAAATCTCGTTTGGCTTCTCTAGTCGCAGAGAGCGAAAACGGATTAATTGGATTGAATTGAATTGAGCAGGAAGAGAAAAGATAACCAGCTCGCGTCAGAATGGCTACCGTTTCCAGCTTCCCGACATCGCGGAAGGTGTAAATCGGAATTTGTATGCTTGTTTCTGGTTTTTTATCCAAGTATTGATTTCTAGTTTAGAGCGTGCAGTGATTCGCGCGATATTACATTTGCAGATGCTTCAAATTTTCTGCAGAAAGAAGGACAAAGAGAGAGGAGGGCAAAAAAATTTTCCTTACAAAGTTATCGAAATTACCCCTCCGCCGAAGAGCCTCGGCATTCGTTGCTTTCCCCCGGTAAATATGTTGATGAGAATTTTGACAATTATACTTACATTGTTGTCGGTATTAGTCTGTATCTTATGCTCATTGATAGGTTTGAATGCTTATTCATTTTGAAATTTCTATTTCAGTTTGATGGCAATAGCCATTTCCCCTTTCCCCTGCTTAATATTTGGTTCATTGTGACATGAACATAATTTGGCTGATGTAAATAGCTGATGTGAAGAGGCTACAGTGACATTGTTGATTACAACAGTAAATGGGTATAAGTTTCAATAGTAATTTGCTTAATAATAGATTATTTAAGTGAAACAACTATGTATGAGAAGAAGAATTAAATAAGAAATTAGTGAAGAAGGAAGTATGAAGATTTGGATGAAATCATCCTGGTGAAAACATATCTACTATGTTCATACATCATAGATTGATTGCCTTGCAGTCTTGCAGATTAAGTATGTCAGCAATTTATTGAAATGATCAGTGGAGTTATATGCATAAAAAGAAAGCCACTGAGAAATTGAATTTGATATGTTCAAGGGCTTATCATCTACATTATCAGCTTGATTAAATCACTGTGATCCTCTACTAGTCTGCGATGCATTGAACATGTAAAGAAAAGCTTCAAAGTTTTTACTTGTATTTGCATGCCTTAAGAAAGTTACTTCAAAAAACATTCGATATATTAGCTCCTGAAAATCGGCAGTACCTAATATTCTTATTAGAAGTTGCAAATATTTTGTCATTTCTTTCATCAACCTCATGGTGAAATAATGAAATGAGCATTTTCACTGCATTACCAAAAATCTCAACTGAATGTCAAAGATTTGTTTGATATCTCTTTCCAACAAATCCTTGCAGACATCTGCTCAGAATTAGTTGTAGTAGTTTACAAAAATCTACAAAAACCACTTACCTGGTGGCTCAATCCCATTATGGCAACCACCCTTGGCTTGTGAAGTAGTATTTGTAGAAAAATGAATGAATTTCTTTGAACTCATGCCATACCCATACTATTGTTGAATAATAGACACTGACATATTTTCCTCGGGTTTTCCTTTTTCGGTAACATTTTTATATTAATCAGGGATTGTTGTTGGATCATCTTACACGTACTTCCGATGGTTTTGATTGCAGAACCTGCAGTGTGGGGAGAGTGTGACGATCGAAGGGCGAGGGTATACGATATCGGCGGTGACGCACCGGTATCAGCTTCGGAGAGGGAAGTATGAACCCAGTGAGCAAAGGCTTGATGTCTTGTCCACTGGAAGATACATTCTCAACTTGTATTTGGAGAATTTGCTTCAACAATCTTGAACCTCTATGTATGTATGTATGTATGTATGTACATTTTTATTTGTATGTCTATCGTGTGCCATTTGGCTTTCTCACTAGATTTTTATTTTAATTAATGGATTTTCAGTTACCAACTAAATAATTCTCCTGTCTATTAAGAAACAAGTAAATATCTCATCTCTTGGCGTGCAAGGAACATTTTGTCCGCTATTATTCTTTTTAATTATTATTAATTAATAATAAGAGCAAAAATTATTTTTGTTAGTTGAATACCACAATTATCAATTTTAGTTTCATTCCAAAAAAAATTTATCAATTTTGGTCCAATTCAAATAAAAATTTATCAATTTTATTCTCAAATCGGTTGATTAGGACTGAACACGGCAGTGTTGGCTTTAAAACGATCAGTTGAATAACTCAAAAGATGAATGAGATCAAAATTGATAATTTTTTTTAAATAAAACTAAAATTGATTATTACCATGTTAGAATGAGACAAAAATGATTTTTACTCTAATAATAATTACTTCCGAGTTAACAGTGTCGGTGACGGCGAGAATGAGCAGGCTCCGTAAGAATCCACGTTACTGAGAGAGGACCTGAGGTCCAAGCTGTCAGGTAATTTACATAGCTGATTTTTACATACCCGAATGTCTATGATTGAGGTTAGCTAGCCAGCTACGGAGTATATGGGTAGGTGGCTAGGGCTTGGGTTGGGGGACGATGCGCATTCGGTGCCCAAGGGCAGGCACAGCTATTTGTATATCTCTCTTCTCTTTCTCCTACTCCACAAATCATCTTAGAAATTTCTCTGCGCGCTCCTCCAGCTTCCTCCTTCATTTTACTCCTCAACCGCTTCGCCGCTCTACCATGGCAGGAGAGTCGGACGACATCGTTACCAAAGAGAAGATGATCGCCCAGTACGGCTTCGACCGAGATGAGATGTATCAGAGCAAACTTGCTGGAACCGTTGACCCCTACGATCGTCACGTGTTCCTCTGCTATGGGTCTGCAGAGTCCTGGCCTCCACGCCTTGAGGATTCCGTCGACGATTCGTTCCCTAGATTGTTTGCTGCTGCTCTCAAAGCTCGTAAAGATGAAATCAAACTTAAGGTCCGTGATGGTCTATTGAGGCTCATTTCGGCGTGTTTTTACTGTTGGTTGTTATTATTATTAGTTTTCCGGTTTTTACATGTAGTTAGACATTGATGGAAATAGTTTTGATGATTGGGAAGTATGCACAATTCAGCGGCTTGCGTTATTTTTGGGAGTGGGGTTTGAATTTGATTTTGTTTCGGTTTTCTGCTGTTTGATATCAGTTCTCCGAGAAGGCTTATCGTTTTTTCAGCGGAAGCTGGGTTGTGATGCATCTTAATGTTAATTTTATGTCGTTGTTATTCTTCACCTGCACGTTATGAGCTTCTTCCATGGAGCTCCTCCATTACGCTTGGGCTTTGCTTGTGTTTAGTTTCTGTTGCTAGACAGAAGCAGCTTGAATGAATGTCTCACTTATCTTTCAAATACAAAAGTTGATTTACTTTCAACATGCTATTTGCTAACAGTAATCAAATTGTAGAACACAGGTACCTATGTGTATATATATATATATATATAGATATATTTTTTCTATACATGCAGTAGATACATAGCTAGAAAAGGCCTGTTCATGATTTTTTTAGATGCCTTATCCATCGTTGATAGTTTTGTCTCGTTGGGCCGGCAGTTTTACATCTGTTTACTCATGTTATTTAGTACAATAGCTTTATGGCCACATCAGTTTAAGTTGTTTATAGTCGGTGGTTAACATTATTTTCCATGTTATTGAAATTTGCAGACTCGTATGACCATATTTGAGGAATATCGTGAGGCCAATTTGTCGAGCGGAGATATACTGATTTTCCCGGATATGGTTATATATAGGTATGAATACAGTTGATCTATGAACGTCAGTGGATTTTCTGTATGCAAACCTTGTTATGCTGGTTTTGTGAAGGCCTATATGCTGAAGAGTCTTTCAGCTTTTAACTGGAAAAACCTGAAAACGTTTCCCACTTAGTTCAATATCTGCTGTGCTGTGACTGTTGGCTCTAAATAATGCTTCAAACCTGGAGTTTGTTAATTTTTTTTGCATCATATATTAAGTTATTTTGGTTTGTAAGTAACGAATGAATGATGATTTACACAATGGAGTCATGAGTCACCTTTCCTTTGTTTACTGAAGGGGTGTGCAAGATTCAGAGATAGATAGCTTAGTTGAAGACGTACTCGTTAAAGAGCTGCCTTGGCATAGATCGGCGGAGCAGTTGGATGGTTCCTATGTATTTGTTTGCGCTCATAGCAAACGTGACAACAGATGTGGTGTCTGTGGCCCTATTCTGGTTGAAAAATTTAGGGAGATTGGGAACAAGGAGTTGGGTGAGGAAGTGACTGTGGCTGCTTGCTCACATGTTGGGGGACACAAGTATGCGGGGAATGTGATTATTTTTAGTGCAGGACGTGATGGAAAAGTTGATGGTAATTGGTAAGGACTTATTCTGGATATGTGTCAAGTCTTACTATATTGTATCTTTTGGATATCATCTACGGTATCTGAAAAATCTCAATCATGATGGTATATGAATGATTCTTGCCCCTTTGTGCAGGTATGGGTATGTCACACCTAATGATGTCCCTGACTTGATCAAGAAACAAATTGTCAATGGACAAATCATTGACCGGATTTGGAGGTATCGGTCCCCTTCGCCTTATTTTCTTCAATAACTGAGTAGTATTATGCCATTCAGGATCTACTGCGATTCGTGGAAACTGAAATTTGGATACAATTATTGCAGGGGTGGAATGACGCAAAATGCTAAAGAACCTGAAAATGGCAAGGTATCTGAGCTTGCAGCTAATGGAACCTGCTGCCAGGGTAGCAATAGTGGGTTCCGTTGCTGCCAAGAAAACAATGGCGAGAAGGAGAAGGCTGGGCTCTCAAGCTGGACGGCGAAATTGGAGCAGCGCCGTGTCCTCACAACAGTAGGTTTGGTTACTGCTGTGGCCGCTGTGGCTGTTGCCTACGGGTTCTACCGAAAGGCCAGGTAAACAAACAAGCCATTGCTAAGTATTGTAGAAGGTGGAAAGTTATATGCCCTATGTTTTTTGTGGGAATGCACGATTATGCAAATAAAAATCAGTGTACACGAGCTGATACAAAGAAAAGAAGATGTGTAAGGATGTCTAGCACCAAGATTTCTGAGATTTTGCCTTGGGTATTGAGTGTTTTATATCGATCAAATGATTTTTCATATGCTAGTTATAGTCCCTAGGACAAGATTTATTCTTTACAGCTTTACAGGTCATACTAAGCATGGTAATTAAATTGATGGGTATCGTTATACACCATCTTCTCTTCTAGTAATGTTAGCATTTCATGTATTTGCACAAAATCTTGATGGGATCTGTCATTGGCAACGAAAGTACAGATTCTATCCCTTATTTCTACTACACTTTGGCCTGAGACAACCTTCAATTCCTTGTGTCTGACTTTGTTTCGGACTTGAGCTGCATCGACCCAATTTTTGTCTGCAGCATACATGCTCGACAACAATATGTAATGACTAACCTCACAAGGATCTGATTCGAGCAGTTTCTTTGCTACGAATTCTCCCATCTCCGTGTTGTGATAAATACGGCAAGCATTAAGCAATGCTCCCCATACGTTGGCATCGACAGGCCCCGGCATTTGAGCTATAAATGCCATGGCCTTGTCTAGCTCACCGGCCCGGCCAAGAAGGTCGACTACTATCGCGTAATGCTTTGTGTTTGGTTGCAGTTTATAGTCCTTCACCATAAGATTGTATATGTCGATGCCTTGCCTAACTAGACCGGCATGACTGCACGCAGATAAAATCGAAACAAAAGATACATCATTCGGTGTAACAGAAGAATGCTCGATCATTTGACGAAATAGCTCCAGAGCCTCCAGGCCTTTCCCATGAAGCCCATACGCCGCAACCATGGAACTCCAGGTAACAACATCTCTGTCTATTTTATGTTCGAACACTACAATGGCGTCGCCCAAGCTACCGCATTTTGAATAAGATTCTATTAATGAGACGATGATGTGGGGATCGTTACTTAAGCTGCCCTTGAGCGTGAAACCATGGACGCAACTCGTTTGTTGAAGAACTCCTACCTCCGAACATGCTGTCAAAACCTTCACCGCATCAAAAACATCGGGTCGAAAATCATTGGCCAACATATCCCGGAACACTACAAGGGATTTATATGCCCTACCGTTGCGAACACATCCGTGCAGCAGAGCAGAGAAGCAAACTGCGTCGATCTCAGACATCCGATTGAACACTTGAATCGCATCGTCGGGTACACAGCAGCTCATGTACATGTCGATCAGCGCGGTGGCAACCAATATATCGAATTCCAACCCTTCCCTTACAGCGAGTTTATGTATTCGTCGACCCCTCTCTACATCACATGTAGCCTCACATGCTTGCAATGCACTGATCAAAACGACGGCATTGAGCTCGATTCCTTTAGCCACCATATCATCAAAAAGATCGAGAGCTTCCAAAGCATTGCCGTGATGGGCGTAGCAGGCGACCATCGAGCCCCATGATATCACATCTTTAGCTTCCATCTTCTCAAATAACTTGGCTGCAGAACGCGCCGAACCCGTTTTCCCATATAAACTCAGCAACGAATTCGACAAAGACAAGCCGTCATAGTCCATACCCGTCCGGATCATATAGCCATGAACACTCCTACCTGATCGCAAGTCAGACGTCTGCGTGCAGGCAGATACGACGCTGCTGAGGGTGATCGAATCAGGCACAACCCCAACCTCTTTAGTCCTTACCATTCGTGCAAATAATTCGATGGCCATTGCTGGTGCACCGTTCAGCTTGCACCCTGCAATGGCTGCCGTCCATAGGACCTTATCCGGATTCGAATATTCTCGAAACACACACAGCGCATCATCCATTTCCCCAAATTTGGAATACATTTTGATCAAGCACGCTCCAATGAACAAATTGCTGCTGAAATTACTCTTCTTCTTCACGAAGCCGTGTATCGTCTTCCCCAAACCAAATGCTTTCGTCTCCGCGCAAGCTTGTAGCGCGACGCGTGTCGCGCAAGCATCCGGTTTCTGATTCGGAAACATATGAGTAAAGATAAGCAGAATCTCCTTATACCTTTTCTCTTCGAGGTAACACCTGAGAATGCTGCTCCAGACATGGCCGCTCCTCTGAGGAATTTCGGCGAACACCTTGCAAGCGTTGTGGAACGAGGTGTATTTCGAGTACAACTCAGCCAATTTCGATGCAACCAAAATATCATCAGTCAGTCCTGCTCTGATCGTCACGGAATGCAGCTGGCTCAAGCATTTCCCTCTTCTACAGGATTCGAAAAGCTTCACGAGTGATTCACGAGAGACCATGTACGGACGTCGAACTGGAACAAAATCCCCGTTTACAGCAGATTGTAGTATTTCAAGACAGTGAGGCCCATGAAGCCCAAACAATAGGCCCATTTAATACGTAAGGCCCAATTGCGCTGTTTTAGTAACAAACGATTTACATATTATTATATTATATTTTATTATTTACCTCAGAGATAGAAGAAATAAAAATAAATAGAGTAATGAATTTTCATTTTCGTCGATAAAATGGAGATTCTTCACGGGGTGAAGAAGTAGGTGGCCTGTTCTTCAAACTCGAAACCGATTCCTTATTATATTAATTACTGGATTCGATCATCAATATTTTTGCGCTCAATGTATATGATTGATTTCTAGTCTTTAATTCTTCAATCGGCTACATCGATATTCGGTTGTATCTGGTTCCAGATTTTTGTTTTTCTTGTCCGTATAATTGAAGTTTCCGGAGGTTTCAGGTACGAAGGAATCCGCCGCTTTCAAATTTTTACCTCCACTAATCGATCTATAATTTTTCCTTACTTGAATTTTGTGGTATTTATTGGTGCACAAACGTGTGGGAGAAAGGGTACGGTGCTGCCAATTGAAAGTTATTTGAGGGAGAAATTGAGGATGAGCACGCCTTCGACGAATGTGATTCAGGACGGTGATGGATCGCATCGAATTATATTATCAGAGCCCGGTGGTTCGACTGCCGAGGTTTGTGGGTTTCTTAACCTTGTTTTTGTTCTCTTTTATGTTAATGTTAAACGATAACGGATTAGTCGATGAAATTTGTCCTTTTTTTGTAATTTAAAATTGATCTTTAGGTTTTCAGGTGCAATCATCGATTATTGCTATAAAGAAGATGAATTGTTACGAAATTAGACCAATGTATTTTTTTTTTCCAAGAGGAGTTTTAATTAATTGCTTAAAAGAAATGATTCATAAAGATATTAGTAAAAATTGTGCTTTATAATTCAGAATGCATTGTTTGAGCCTGCTGCAATCCCTTTTATATTTTGGGCTGATTGAGCTTCATGTGTTAATGGATGGGGATTGGAGAGTGAAATATACTCTAACCATTATTATATATTGATCATGCCAGGTGCTCTTGTATGGTGGGCAGGTGATTTCCTGGAAGAATGAAAGAAGACAAGAAATGCTCTTCATGAGCAGTAAGGTAAAAATGTTTTTGTTGACCATCTAGTGTTATCTGTATCTTTTAGATGACAATAATAGTTGTTCGATTCCATGTATTTTAATCTGCTTTTTTTTTTTTTTTTCTGTGAACATGTGGATGCATATATTTTGTTACTAAAGGTGCGGGTTTGGGATTGCATAAAATGATTGTAGTTGAATTGATGTGGAAGATATAGTTTTGAATTAAAGGTCTTGATATTTCTGATGTAGTGGGTGAGCTGTTTTCAGTTGTCTTCTTTGCAAATAAGCTTTTGCGTACAACAACAATGTACTAAATGGGTTGAGAATTTTGGATTCAATGAACTGTCTTTTGAAGTTTTCTGATGCAAAACAGATAGCTTTTTGTTTCCAAGAAAAATGGACTAACTAGATAGAAATTTTCTGAAGCAATTAGCATGGCATTTTTAGTTGTCTGATGCTAAACAGATAGATTTTTGTTTACAAGAAAATGGACTAAATGGATGAAAATGTCGGGCATACTTATTCAGCAGTATATATCTGGGTATGTGTTTTATGGTATGGCTTTTTCCATCATGCCCTGCTCATCGGATATGTGTATAACATGGGTCACAGGCAATGTTGAAGTCGCAGCCTCCAAAATTCGTCAGGGGTGGGATTCCAATTTGCTTTCCACAGGTCATTCTCTAACTTAACTAGAAAAGTGTTTGTTTCTACATCAGTTGAATGTATTCTTTCTGTTCCCTGCGCATTCAGTTTTCCCATTTTGGTTCCCTTGAGCAACATGGATTTGCAAGAAATAGGTTGTGGTCAGTGGATGACTCCCCTTCCTCTCTACCCCCTGCCACCAACCAATCCACTGTGGATATTATTCTAAAATCCACAGATGAGGATCTGAAGACCTGGCCACACAGGTGAGAATCCAAAGAATTCGGTGATGTCTGGTAAATGATTTCATTTATAAAGTTTGTTCATATTTCATTTTTCTTGCGCTGTTTGCAGGTTTGAGTTGCGACTGCGTATTTCCTTGAGTGCTCACAAGCTCACCTTGATCCCTCGTGTTCGAAATACTGACAACAAGGCCTTCTCATTCACTTTTGCTTTGTGCAATTACCTGAAGGTGTCTGATGTCAGGTTTACCTCTTAAATCTACCACTCATCATTCTTCCTTTTTTTTCACCATTTTTGTGACTGCAGTTTTATATCATTACCCTTTCTTACCTATACCTGCTTGAAACACTCAATTGGGAGGGTATGAACTAGTTTATTTTGCATCAAGGCAAATTTCTATCACCAGACAAATCATTTAAAGATGCAGTAGCTGGTATATTTGTTAGATGTTCTATGCTCCCCCTTAGATCGACTGCACGATACCCATTTGATTTGCAGTGAAGTTCGTGTTGAGGGCTTGGAGACGCTGGATTACTTTGATAATTTATTACAGAGGGAAAGGTATACAGAACAGGCAGATGCAATCACTTTTGACGGTGAGGTAATATATTTTATTGCATTTTTGTCCCATGTTTACTTGCTCGTGCAGAATTGACTTTGGTTTTTCTGTGGACCTAAAAGTCTTCAACATTCGATGCTTCTATTAACCACTCGTGGTTATATTTTCTTTCTCTTCATAGATTGACAGGGTCTATTTAAGCACGCCCACAAAAATAGCCATAATAGACCATGAGAAGAAGAGAACTTATGAACTCCGCAAAGATGGGATGCGCGATGCAGGTTCCTTTTTACGTTTCCTACTTGTACTTTACAAGAAATTTGCAGTCATTCCATGTGAACTGAACTGAACTGAACTGAAGAGTGATGAAATGCAGCTGTTTGGAACCCTTGGGACAAAGTGGCGAAGGCACTTCCAGACTTGGGCGATGAAGACTACAAGACAATGCTACGCGTGGACTCTGCTGCTATCGAAACTCCTATAGTGTTGAAACCCTTTGAAGAGTGGAAGGGCCGTCAGGAGCTGTCGACTGTCTCTTCAAGCTATTGCAGCGGACAGCTCGATCCCCGGAAAGTCCTTCTTGGCCACATCTGATGGGATGCCTTATGATTTCAGTTATGGCATTTTAGCATCTATAAGAGCTTCACTGCTGGTCTTGCTGATGATCATCAGTGGCTCATACATACATACATACACATATACATATATATATATAGGGAGAGGGAGAGAGATGGTAGATAAGCTAGAGGTGGTTGGTTATATGAGCTGCATTATTATTATACATACTAATATAATATGTGCAGCAGCCATTTTAATCCATCCCCATATTCTTCATCATCCTGCTTGTTTTCTAGTGAGGTTTCTTGTTGTAGATCCTACCCCTAAAACTGCTACTTATGAACAATAATTGGGGCTTCTCTTGTCTTGTCTTCTCTTGGCTTTCGGACAAATCGAATTTCTTCAGGGTTTTGTTAAACATGAATTTTATTTATTAATTTATTTATTTTTGTGCTAGCAGTTGCAGGTTTTTGTTCCGTTCCTCTTTTTAAGTTATCTTATTGGATATTTACTGGGCCCAATTTATTATAACTACTTTACTTGTTTGGGCTTTGTTACTTTAGTCATACGGTATCGGCCCATTAGCTATTAATACGGCCCAGTAAGTTGCCATAGGGTCAGTCATGTATGTACAAGCTCGGCTCTCCGCCCTTTGCTACTGATATGATTTTGCAGAATGGCGACGGAGCAGCGGCGGAGCAGGAAGAGGAAGAGAGGCGGTCGCCGTCGTATGGGAAAATCTACTGCCAATAGCCTGGCGGTGAAGAAGGAAGCTTCTCCTGTTAAAACATCTGCTGGTTCGGCTTCGTCGATTAAGAGTGGCTCAAAATCCTCGGCATCGTTCCTTGACAAGGTCCCAGTAACTGATTTCATCATCTCTCTCGATGTAGTATGATAATTCAAACAAGTATTCTGATTTTCTTTCTGGAATCGTTGGTTTGGCAGATGAAAGCTAAACTATCGGGGGGTTATTTCCGTATGATCAATGAGAAGCTCTACACGTGCAGGTGCGAATACCTTCCTGTGTCCTATATTTTTCGTCTTCTTTCTTGGCCTCTTTGGTTGATGTTTTTATTTTTAGGGTTATCTGCGATTTATATCCATCGTTCTATGTTTATTCTCTTAATTACTGTGACGAACCGTGTTTGAGCTGCCTTGATTTGTCCATTCATATTGAATCGTCTCTTAATTCATGTGTTTGGAACGCAGTGGAGATGATGCCCTGAAATATTTCAAAGAAGACCCGTCATTGTTCAATGTGGTAAAGCGATCTGACCTTCACATGGCTTATATACTATGGAAAAACTGGTGACTTATATGTGACTGTCCTGTTTATCCTTATATATGACGAATTGAGTTGTGTATCATACACACGCTGTATAATAATCTAATGTTCGACCACCAGTATCATTCAGGATATCAGGAGCAGATGTCACGTTGGCCTGTGCAGCCTAACGATGTTATCATAAAATGGATAAAGGACCGCAGCCCTTCTTTAGTTGTTGCAGATTTTGGTTGTGGTGAGTATGTTTAAGCATTACCTGGATAAAGAATCTTGTGCTTTGTTTGTCACCGTAAAAATCTGCTTGTAATTTACTTAGGTGATGCACGGCTTGCTAAAAGCGTGAGGAATAAAGTTTTCTCCGTTGACCTTGTCTCCAATGATCCTTCAGTTATTGCTTGTGATATGTCCAATGTACGTCGTCCGCTTTTCAATCCTTTATATCTACTTTAACTTTTGGCAACTACTAACTACCTTCAGTAATTGCTTGTGATATGTCCAATATTGCTTGCTAAGATCGAAGAGCATTGTATGTAAATGCCGGATATCTTAAAACTATTTAAGCTTTGGATTACATCTAATTGGAATGAGCACCTTCATGTCCCAATGAAAAGTTTCTGTTTGGTGTGCAGACACCCATCAACACTGCTTCGGTAGATATTGCTGTGTTTTGTCTCTCACTCATGGGGACAAACTTCCCCAGTTATCTTCAGGAAGCTAACCGGGTTCTCAAGGATCAGTATGCATTTATGTTACACACAACCTTTCCTTCTCCAAATTTCATTGGATTGCCATTAATGACTGTTATCACGGGCTCTATGCAGTGGGTGGCTTCTAATAGCCGAAGTAAAAAGCAGGTTGGACCCTAGTACAGGAGGAGCAGACCCTGATAAGTTCGTGAGAGCCATATGTGAACTGGGATTTACCTCAGTATCCAAGGTACATAAGTAGTGTATTCTATATATATATATATATATATATATTTTTTTTTTTTTGCTACGATATGCTCCCTCCCAGATAGATTCCTTGGAGAGCTTATCATGCACTAAAAGCTACTCATTTGATGCAGGACTTGTCCAATAAAATGTTCATGCTGTTCTACTTCCAGAAGAAGGTGGGACTTCCTCGGCTCATCTTGCTCACTGTTTTTGGTATGACTAACAGACAGTCTTGTTGTGGTTTGATACTGCAGGGGAAACGAAAAACAAAGGACATCAAATGGCCTGAGTTGAAACCTTGTGTGTACAAGCGTCGGTAGTGTAAGCTTGTTTTGATTCTCGGATGGGATGAATGATTGATTATATACATACATACTCTCTGGCTTATTTATATTGCAGTAGTTGTGCTGCAATAGTGTTTGTAATTTGGTCTTTTTGTTAGATGATGAGAAGAATGATCTCTGATTCACTTCTAGTTTGGTAGTGAACTGGAATTGGAATTGGAGTAGTGAATCCAAATTCAATGTGGTAGTTTAATCTAGTATATCATGTTACTATTGTTCCCAATTTGATTAACATTCTGATGAAGTGAAGTTAGTTATATATATATATATTATATCACTTCAACAAAAAAAGATAAAGAGTAGTTCTCTTGAGTATGATGTGATGCATACATAGGGCAGAAGTAAACTTGATATAATTAGTGGTAAAAATCTTCTTGAGATGATTCGGTCAAGTGATCAGGCTGTTGGCGTTGGACATAGAAAAGTTCACAGTGGATCATTTGACTACAACAATTTATTTTTTTCTGTAACAGCTAAGTTCATAGTAATGATTGTCAACAACATTCTTTTCTTTTTTTTTTTTTTTTCACAGCTAATTCTATTGTATGATTGTCCAAGAAAAATATAGCCCGCGAGGGGTAGTCCAATGGTGAGGGGACGGGGATGGAAGTGTAACCGTGAGATCATTGTTCACTTGATACATATGATTCACCTAGTCTTGTCGGACTTAATTTGGAGGGTATTATGTTTCATCGAAGATTCATCCGTAACATCAGAGCATTTATTTTTTAATAATAAGAGGTATTTGTATGTATCATGCCACAAACTGTAAATTGACAAAAATAAAATAAAGTATTGTATAGTATTTTCTTTTTCCTTCATAAGTATTACAAAAATAAAATATCACTTGTCATTAGGGTGTGCGGGCAATTAGCTGGACAGTTGTTCTGATTCAATTAGCTATTTAACTAGTTAATTCAATTAGCGTGTTTGGTAAAATAGTCGGTTTAATATTAGTTGTTTATATGTAAAATGACGATTAAGGATATTTTGTATTTTATTTTTAAAATATATAGTTACAGATTTTTTATTATTTCTTATTGAAAATTATAAAAAATAAATTAAAATATATATTTTATTTCTTAAATATTTTGTGAGAAATTGGATATATATTTTATTAAGTTAAATTTAATTAATTTATTATTTATAATAATAAATAAATTTGTTCTAATATATTCATCAATAAAAAGAAATCATTTGACAAAAAATATATACTAGTATATATAAATAAATTAATAATAATTTCAATTATATCAAATTTACAAAAGTAAATTTAAAAGTCAAATAAAAATATATATTAACATAATTAATAAATACTATAATGAAAAATATATTAATGTGTAAAAGGGTTAAATAATGAATAAAAAAAATTAAAGTAAAACAGTTATTTTGAAATGTTGGGATGTGCTACAATGTTTCAAAAATTAGTTTTCTGGAGCAAATAAGGTAATTCAAAAAGTTAATTTACCAAATAGTTACGGGGTATTTGGGAAGTTTGACCAGTCTTTGGGGTAAATAAGGTAATTCAAAAAGTTAATTTACCAAACACTTACGGGTGTTTGGAAAATTTGATCAGTAAAAAAAAAATAATTTACGTGTTTGGTAAAATTAGCTTTTTGAAATAGTTTTTTTTTAAAAAAAAATTAATTTTTAAAAAGCTAATATATCCAACTTTTTAAAGAGCTTTTTCAATTTACTTATTTTATTCCTTATTTATTCTTAAAAATAATTTATTTATTTCATCATATAATAAGTATATTTTTTATTGCAATATTTATTAATTAATTTTAATATATTTTATTTACTAAATTATAATATTATTTTTTAAATTTAAAATAATTACTATTATTAATTATTATATATAAATAATTTTATTTATAAAATATATATTTATTAAAATTAAATCAAATAGAAAAGAAAATTATTATTAATTTATTTATATATATTTTTATTATACAAAATTTACATTTAAAATAAATAAATAGAATAAATTAGTAATAAACAATAATTAAAATAATAAAAGATTATAAGAAAGATTTATTCTCTTATATTTTATACAATTTCAATAAAAATTTATTATTATTTTTTAATAAAAATATTTTTTTTAAATTAAAAAATAAAAATAGATATTTTATAATATTTTTATAATTTTCAATAATGAATAAAAAAATATCAAAAATTTTAAATTAAAATAAACAAAATAAATATTTTAAGAAATACCATATAAATATCTTTAATTGTCATTTTATATATAAACAGTTAATGTCAAACAATTGTTTTACTAAATACTTTAATAAAAATCAAAATCGCTAATTGAATCTCAAACTAGCTAATTGAATCAGCTAACAAAAAAAAAAAAAAAAACTATCAGCTAATTACTGAACGCACTCTTAAATAAATTTTTTGACCGATCAAACAACTAAAAATATCTTACTTTTATTTATAATCTATGGGTGTGTTTGTTTGTGGGTTTTAGTTTTTGGGTTTGGATTTTGAAATAGTTATTTGATGTAATATAAATAGAGTTTGATGTGATATTTTAAATGTAAAATAAATTTATAGTATAATATTAAAAAGAAAAATAATTATTGATGCGATTTTTTAAAAATAAAAATAAAAATTGACCAGTAAAAATTATAGTAAAACAACACAACCTATATATATTTTTCATTAAATTACCAATTTACCTCTCTTTTTTTTATTTACCAAAATACTATCTCAACGCATTAAATCCAAGGGTATTATTGAATTTTTCCTCTTATACAAATTCACTTATCTTCTCATTAAAAATATCATATATATATATATATATATATATATTGGAATCTGTCCCCGTTACTTTTTGAATGAACTTTAAGGGTGTGTTTGTTTGAGAGACTTTTTCAAACTTTCGCTATTTATTCAATTTTTTTTAAAAAAAATATCAAATCAAACACCTATTTTTTATTTTTTATATTACTAAAAATTAATTTTACATTCAAAACATCACATCAACATATATTTATATCGCATCATACAACTATTGAAGTTCAAATATTTTACTATTCAAATCTCAATTCAAAATCTAAACCCCCAAACAAACACACCCTAAGTAAATTCTTAGTCAAATATAATAACTTGCAAATTAGACCTAATAAAAAAAATCACATTAGCAAATATACAAATTTCTTTTAAAACTATCTAGATAAAACTGGAAATATATTGAGAATATTGTACTTAATAAAATATTAAAATAAAAATATTTATACATATTATTAATTGATAAAAATGATAGATTATACTTTATCCCTTCCATATAAATAAATATCCTTTTTATTTATAATTGCTATACATAAATAACGTATTTTTATTTGTAGTTTTATATAATATTTTCACTACTCTCAGTCTTACTTTTATTATCAAAATATCATCCCTAATATGCATAAATAAAAAAAAAAAATCTATCATTAATATTTTTCTTGTCACTTAATTTTTAGTTGACGGCCAAATGAATTTGGGTCTGTCGAAATTGACGAAAATTGTATTTTTTGTCCCCTTCAAGAAAATATTTATTGGGCCACAAAATCAAATTATATATTTTCATACATAATTGGGATGGAAAATATAGAATAATAATCTGAAAATTTTAACTAAAATAGGAATGAAATTGGAAAAATAAGAGCTGAAAATAATCAAAATAGAAATCTATAGCAAAGGGTGTAGTCCTACCTTCCTGATTCCTGGCATTTTAGAATTTAGATTATTCAGTGTTAAAAAAATAAAAAGAAATACGGTTTCTTAGTCAAATTTTACAATTTCTTTACTGTTTTTTTAGTTTCTTCAAGGTTTCAGATTTAGCTTTCAACCATTTGACTTTTAAGAAATCCATTAATACACATTTGTATTAAGGTAATTCAAATGTTATTATTTATACATCTCAGAAATTCAGAACAATTTTCAGATTTTTCTACATTTAATTGTTAATTATTTTATTTCAATTTGTTAACTGTTACTTTGTTTTATTTAGTTTTTTTCTTGTGATATAATTCTCGACATTGATGATGCTGACTGTGGAGTGAAGATGCATTTGCATCTGAAGTTCTCTCGTTGTGGTAAATAATTTTCAATTTAAACGACTTATTTGTGTCATATTTCTTTCTCTGAATGAAGTGATTGAATTAAAACAAAGTTAGGACTCTCGGCAAGGATTTGGTGACTCTCCCTTCAACCGATACTATATTTATTTTCAAATTTTCAAATGCCTTCTTTCCAAGAAAATTGCTTTTATTTTTAGGATAAATTTTATTTTTAATATATTTAATAGAATATCTATTAATATTTTTAATATATTTTGTAAATATTTTATATTTTATTTATTTTGCAGATAAATCACAATCTATTGAAGAAAAGAGAAGTAACACATAATATTCATTTATAATAAATTTTGCAGATATTTTTTTTTTATTTTGCAGATAAATTACGATGTAAAGAATAAGAAGAGAATAAGGTAAACATATAATATCCATTAATATTTTTAATATATTTTGTAGATATTTTCTATTTTATTTATTTTGCAGATAAATCACTATCTATTAAAGAAAAAATAATAATACATAATATTTATACAATAAAATATAAATATAATATTCATATAAAGATATATTAAATAATATAATTATATTTTATATTTTTTCTATATAAATTTTATTTTATTTTTTATTTATGTTATATAAAGATATTGGATAATATAATATTATTCTATGTAATTTTTCAATTTTTATTTTATTTTTTATTTTTGGTATATTTTGATTTTTAACAGATTTAAAAAATATAATTAAAATTAAATTTATTTATTTTATTTTTAGTATTAATTATGACTAATCATTTTAATTTTTAAGATTGATAAACAACAATTTATATAAAAATATAAATATATAAACACATTAGATAATATTAATTATTTTTAAATATTAATTTTTTAAAAATATTAATTTTTTCTTATTTAATATAAATTATTTTATTATATTAAATAAAAAAAATATAAACAATATTTATTTAATAAAGATTATTTTATTTTATTTATTTTTTTAATCATACTTTATATACTTTTATCACTCAAATATTTTATTTGATATTAATTGATTATATGTTATTTAAAATTAAATTTATATATTTATTAATTGAATATAAATTTTAATGATAGATTCAATTGAAATTAAATTTGTATTTTTAGGTTTTTATTTTTGTTCTTTCATTTCAATAATT